ATGGTTTCAAATTGCAAACAGCTCTTTGATGACTGCAAATTATAATAAGACAAAGATTCAGTCTGTTTTATAGAATATATAGTTCTCCAGAAAAACATGACTATGAGTGGAATAAAAAAAACGCATGAAATCAGTCTTAAAATAAAGCAAGTTCTGCTATCATACCTTGTATCTTGAACAGAAGCACCTGATCAACGTATGAGTCAAAGAGCTTGTCTGGATGATCTTCATTTCTGATGACACTGATGATCACATGCTTCTACATATGATGTTGATGACATCAAATATAACATTTCCAATTCAGGACTTATATTTTATGTTGACTTGCTTATTGTTGATTTGCTTTGGTACATCAATCAAGGATTGTGTTTAGTTGACATTTTTCACGGATATATAATTAGAAAAAGTGTTTCCTAATTAGGGAGCGTGGCTACCAAGCCATTAGCCGCTGACCAGAGCCCGCGATGCGACGTTGTTTACAGACGCAGGTATCATATCCCTCGGAAAGTGAAGCTTAACCAACTTTGAAAACCAAGGCGCGGATGCCAAGAACAATACTCAACCGAGAAGGAACTCGGCACTAGCTTTTAGACATAATCAGCAATGGCGGACATAACAGACGAAACTGTAGTAAGTTAAATAATCGTATCGTATGGTATACTAAATGTTTTGTTGCGAAGTTATGATTGCATATATTTAAGACGCTTCACTAGTTTATAATTCATGAACATTTGAGCTTATAAAGGAAAAGAGTGACCTTGTTTTTTCGTGTAAAAGCTTTGTTTTTTATAGACATCAATATTCCTATACTTTTACGATTTCTGTAATTGTTGTCGTCATTATAAGCTTAAATTTTACTCCTACTCCTAATCCTACTCCTACTCTTACTCCTACTCCTACTACTATTACTGCTACCTACTGCTACCTACTGCTACCTACTGCTACCTACTGCTACTACTACTACTGCACGGGAATATATATATTAGCATAATATGCAAATAAAAGTTTCTATATAACGGAAAATTTTATGCAATTTATTCATTATGTGTTTTATTTATTAAACATTTATATTACTGTTACTGGTACTATCGTCGTGTACCGTGTAACCAAGTACGTCATAGGTTTCCGAACACACGAGTGGGACTTAGAAATATTTTGAGGATTTTGGTTCTCCTCACTTATAAAAAAAAAATTGATCCGGTAGATAAGATTTGAACCTGCGAACCCTAAATATGACCTATCCAATTATTAACCCTAAACCTAACCGGTTACGCCACGAGTGAATTCGCTTGGTTGCACTCCTTTTTTTCTAGTATTTAAACAATTTCTCATTAACATTTCACTAAATAATTAATATATAAGAACGAAGTGTACACGAATAATTGTCGGAATTAATTTGCATACGGCAAATTAACATTACAATAAACTCCCCTGAGGTTTCCCGTACACGACGATATTACCCTTTTACTGTTACTGCTACTACTACTGCTACTACTGCTGCTACTACTACTGCTACCGCTASCTACTACTACTACTACTGCTACTACTGCTGCTACTACTACTGCTACTGC